CCAGAGGTGACGCATAATCACTCGCTGACTTTCTGATTATGTTGCACTCCTCCATGTCATCCAGGGCCTCACGCAGTTTCTCATAGTGTGATGGTGACAGTCTTCTGTAGGGAAGTCTGAAGGGTTTAGTATCACTTAGGCAGATTCTATGAACAAAGCCTTTGGCCTTGCCACAGTCTAATCCATGATGTGAAAATATTGACTCATACTTAACCAACAGTTCAACTAACTTCCCTCTCCAGTAAGGTGTCAAAGAGTTTGAGTCAATGTCAATATCTTGGAGCCCCAGGCTAGACAGTGCTGAGCTAGTAAGACCATGCGGCATGTAGGGTTGTCTCTCCATCTCGCACAGTTTACTGCTGCAATTTGCCGGACTTTCAGTGTTCACTTCATTACACTGCAGATCTTTCACCCGTTGAAATGACATATCAAGACATCAAAATCTTCTAGCGCCATGCAGGTGTAAACATCAGCCAGTTTGCAGTTGCGTCTTAGACAGATAGGCTTGTTCGATGGGTTGATAACTTTAACTGGAGTACTGCCATCCCCCCATAAAGACACTACTATCCTGCCCACCAACACGTTTATTGGTGCAGCGCGTGCTATGCTAGGCTCCACAATGACTGTACTGCCCGCAGAAAGGGTTTTGTCACTGAACAACTTTCCCCACACTATATGTTCTTTCATGGGTTCCAAAGTGACAGCACGCTTAAGTTTTACAGTTCCTACTTTTGTAGGGGGATCCGTTCCTTTCCATGACTCAACATTGCACAAGAGTTGCATCAAAGCACCTGTATCAGGATCTTTGCCTCGTGAGTCAGATACCTTCCCCCAGAAATCGCTGGATACTTTCATGTCATGAATGAGATGTTTTATGACATTACTTCCCAAAATTAGGTCAGCATTTTGCCCATCAACAATTAAGGCAGGTACAGAGAAGGAGCAGTTGAATACTTTCATCTGGACATCACATACTCCCAGTGGGCTTGTTCTTTGACCACCACAGCCAATCAGTGTGAGCATTGTTGGGGCTACGTCATCTGAGGAAAGTGCATTTGCTTCTATGAGTTTTGACAGGGCATGAGAACTCATAGTACAGGCCATAGACCCACTATCAAGCATTCCTCGAAGCAAAACAACATCCTGTACCAAGACATCAGTAAATAACAAGTCATCATTTGTGTTAAGTCTCTGCACATTTTGAAAAATCACTTTTGTCTTGTCATCAACACTACTGCAAAAGTCAGAATAAACAGATTCCAAATCAATATCCTCACTGTCAGGGGACATTACACATGGCCCTCCACTAGTCCCCTCCTCATGTGGGCCATCTAGTTTCCCTGCTGACCAGAGTTAGGACTACTCTGTTGAAGTTGTGGTTTGTTGGCAGTCCCCGCAGAGCAAGTTGATGCTCTGTGGCCAGAGGCATGACAGTTAAAGCACAGACGGTTTATTCGACAGTGTGAAAAAATATCATGACTTGCATCACCACATAATTCGCATGCTGCATTTTGTTTGGGCACAGCACTCCTTCCCTTATGCTGAGGTCTGAACACTCTTGTTGTCTGCTGACAAGATCCCTGATCCAAAACTCGTTCCAAAAGACTGATCACTCGACTCAAAGACTGATCCTGAGTAGACTGCTCAGTCACCTGGGATGGAGGTATCACAGCAGCAGCTGTCTCTAAACCACAACTGTGGGCACACAAAACGTCTGTTGACTGAGCATGGCACGCAATGCCACTCACATGTGCATTAGACTTGCGTTGTTGAAGCTTGTTCTCCCTTTGATACTCATCCAGTCTAACCTGCACATCAGCTGCAGTCCATTCATGCAGTGGCTTACACTTGAATATAAGAGACAGCTCTGGATCAGGACAGTTCCTGATAAACATTACTGTAACTTCACGAAAGGGGTCATCTAGAGTTTTTCCCTGTCTCTTCAGTCCTTCCCCAGCAATGTCAATAGCATTGTGCAGCCTAATCCAATAGTCGAATGGCTTCTCGTTTTGCAATGGCAATGTGGTGTAAAAATCTGCCAAAGACATGCACGAATACAGAGTGTCACTACAATGTTGTTTGAGCAGGTCAAAAACTGGCTTTGGACCCTTACTGAGGTCGATCAATGGGTTACTTTTTAGTCCAACCTATACCACATCACGTGCTCTACCCTGCAACTTAGTCAGTACTTCGTCAGCTTGGTCTTTCAAGGGCACTTCACGCTTCCTCAAGTACACTTTTACACTCTCCACCCACTCATCAACAGAAACTTTCTCATCCCCATCACCTCTGAAATATGGAGGCTCATTGACATCATGCTTAACAACCAAGTTAACTTTTGACAGTTCACTCATATTGAAAGTTGAATCACTTTGTTTGTTTTGGCCAAAAATCCCAGATTCAAGACATGTGACTATGTTCTGGCCAATGCTGCTGCCTATCTGTTTCACTATGTCATTAATCAGGTTCACTGGCACAGCATTTAAATCAGATAATTGCACAGAATCATCAGAAACAGCACAAGACTGACACAATAGGTGTCTGCACATCAACACTTCTTGTGTGAATAGGGGTTGAGAAAAGTGGACCTATTTTATCAGCCCCACCAATCTGATGTGTATGAGCAAACCTCAGTACCCCTCTCCCTCTTCCCATACTGTTCTGAATATTAGAACCTTCCATATCAGATGAAGTCACAATACTTCTTATAACTGACTTCTTTTTTTTTTTTTACAATGAAAAAAATATCTATAAAATTTAAATCAACAATATAATTTAGAATTCCAGTGGTCAACACTAAAATAACTCAAGATAGTATTTAAAGTCCTTTGAAGAATGAATTCAATTCACGGATCAAGATATTTCAGTCCACTAAATACTAAAGAAGTTTTCACGAATCAGGTATCCAGTTCAGTTTATATGTACAAATGGCGAACGTCTCATCCACTCAGTCACGTTGCAGCGGTCCTATCCCCCGGTCACGCCTCCACTCGCGTGCAACATTGGTCCCACGAAGAGTGAAGCAAAGGTCGCGGCACCAGTTGTAGCGGTGTGTTTTCTGCGTTGTGTCGAAACGAAAGACAGACTGCGAAAATTCTTTCCATCAGGTCCTCGTTTATTCTGGATAACACAAACGAATATATATGAGGACTCGTGCAGCATTTAAACCAGCGTGCGGCAGCAATGCACGACGCTGAGAAAGAGAAGATTACAGATATTAAAAAGAAACTTAAATAAAGAAAAATAATCAATGAAACATCTGAGTGTGCATCACATAGGGTCTTTAGATCACAATCATACAGATATATCGTGAATTCGTCTGTTACATGAAATACGGCCCTAATTGAATCACTGCAAAACTTGTGCGACCTACCGCTGTGACGTCTCATGCAGACTGGGAAGCAGCAAAGTGCACCAACCTCGGCAGGAAACCCCAAATATGGTCATGGCAAGTGGAATCACAAAATCATTTCCTAAATACACACCTGCTACACTTATCCAACATGTCAAGTGGCGAGTAAGTCCTGCTAAATCGAATTTCTTTTGTTAGTGGCATTTGTTGATTTTTCCCAACAGACGTGAACACTAGTGTTGTCTGTATGGTAGCACAGTCACTTTTTACCTAAAAGATATTGGAGTATATTTCATTATTAGCAAGTGTAATCTCTTATTTTTCTTCATTTTTATCAGTTCTATTCTGATATTTCATTCACTTATATGGGCGTCAGTGGGTGGCCTTGTTACAGTATATTACACAATGACAAATACATGCTTCATTGGGTGAGATGCAAGGGATTGCATACACGTGACTGACTGGTGCAGATGAGATGCCAACATCACGTGATTTTCTACTGGAATCCACGTGTGGATACACCTGTAGTTCTGCAAACGGTGAAAAGATGAGAAAAGATCGTGAACATTCAGAGGGAAAGGACTTCTTTTTTTTTTTTTTGAGTAGTCATTTTCGGGAGGTTGTTTAGGGAACAGGCACCATATAGCTTTAAATTAGAGATCTCAGCCTAGCTATTCAGATTTAACGGTTCAGATTGTTTTCTTTTAGAACAACAGTGGTGTAATGCTTCATTTATTTTTGTCAGTTGTTTGTATATCAATAAAGCATTCGTTGAAATGGCCTATGGTTTGATCTTTCCTCTTCTTTTCGTAATGTTAGTGACAAATGTGCCAGGAGGTGGCAGTACAGCACGTACCGGAGAGGCCATGTGCTTCTACAGGCTCTTCGCACATTTTACGCAAACATGCCATTGGAGAATATTTTTTCAACTTATCTTTGTGTTTTAGCATCTGTTTTATTGTTGCATTGAAATATATGTATATTTAAATTTGACTAGAAATGTAAATATTATAAAGTTGGATAAAATATAACATTTACTTTTGATGCAGGGCCTTCAAGTATGATATTTGGCCCTTCATACAGACTATAGGATTGATACACAGTCAGCCGTTCAGCCAGCCCAGGTATTCCCGGTGTAAAAAGCTGGATTTTCTAGTTAAGACTTTATAGCTTTCTTTCTATACGTTCACTTTTAATGTTGAATACTGAATAGCTGTGAATAGCGTTTGTTTTGCTGTAAATCATGAGTGTGAAATAGAGAAACATCGCAAAAACATTCATTCCCTGACCGGGAATCGAACCCGGTCCGCGGTGGTGAGAGCGCCGAATCCTAACCACTAGACCACCAGGGATGTAGTAGCATTTGATTCGTTCAATATTATTAAGGTAAATCCCCAAACTGTTTCGTGATTCATTTGTTTATATATGTTTATTGATAACCTTTTTAAGGTATTGTGGACGCACTTTGTTGCAAGACCAATGTCTACGTACGTAGTTCCTGAACATTTCCAGAAAACAGAGCACCAGCTGTTCTAGCCTTGCTTCCGCTGGTTTGATCCGGTTCCGCGCTGAGGGTTTATATAGAGCAGAGAAAGGCCACGCCCCCATTCACCACTGCTAGTCGTCGACGTCATCTCTCTATATAAATTTAGACGACCGAGTTGTTTTTGTTAGACAGCACTGCGGTAGATACTTACGGACGTGGAGGGTTTTATCCATCCAAACCTTTTCAAATGGGCCCCGTCGCCTAGCGTTTTCTCCCCAAAGCCTCCGACTGAATTGAGTAGGGTGCTCTAATAACATCTGCAAGAGCGGCAAAAGAAGGTGAGATGGTGGTCTACGCTTCATATTTTAAAGGGTGGTCATTGTTTGGGTCAGAGAATTTGAAGAGGGTATCGTTACATCTATCAGTGTCGTGTATTTTGCTGTAATGGGGTATGTTTTCTCACGTTTGAGACAAAAATGTTTCCTTTGTGATCGCAACTACTGTAATTCCTATGGGATTACTGTAACTTCCTCGTGTAGCCTTCTGAAAAATGCAGTAGGAAGCTTGTTTGCAATGAATGTCTCATGTGGCATAACGTCAGTTTGGCTAGTCTTGTGGTTTGGCACTAAACTGTGTAATAATGAGTAACAATTACAAGACAAATATGTAACCAATACAAGGTTTTAAAACACACGTGAGAGATAAAAGCTCTTAAATGCCTTCCCCGAGTCTGTCTGTATTCATTAATATCCATTTTCAGGGTTAAGATGAGAAGTTATTATCTAGTTTGTATTATTTACATTAAATTCATTCTCAACATTAAATGTCTTCTCAATCTCTTCACAGGGTTTCCATCTAAGTCACTATTTACACAAGTCTGTAAAATGGCAGCCATCCCATCTAGTGGTTCCCTTGTTGCTACTCACGACTACTACAGAAGTAAGTTGCCTTTGCGAGTGCTTTGCTGTTATAGTTAAATGCAACTATTAATAGTTGACGTCATAAAGAGAATTTGCCTTAGAAGACTGTTCCTTTTCAGGGCGCATTGGCTCTACATCCAGTAGCAGCTCGTGTTTTACACATCTCTAACACTGATGGAAATGTTTTTGTTACTTGTTGTTGTCTTATCCTGTGTTTTTCAGCACAATAAATGGTCTTAAACAGCCCACTACTGCTATTGGACACCTATTTATTTATTTCATATTTTGTTTTCTGTATTATAAAGAAACCATACACCACCATCTCCCCTTTACAGTTAAGAGAAAAGACCCCATGCATATAATGCATATTAGCTCTACGTATAATAGTGTACTAGAAGCTGCTTTTAAAATGAAGTGCAGAAATAATCAAATACTAAAATGACAAATTCAGCCTTTTTCACCCTGTAATTGGGTCTTGTTTTTTTTTTTTTGTTTTTTTTTTTTAAAAGGGGTCACAGGATACCCATTTTCCACACGTTGATATGATTGTTTAATCAGATGAAAATATGAAAAGTCTGTAACATCGTTTGGTTAAAATTTCTCAATGGTAGTGTAAAAAAACCCACCTTTTTTACCCTGTCAAAAACAGCTCTTTTCGGATCAAGCCATTTTTGTAGCATTTTCCTTTAAATGTTAATGAGCTCTGCTGACTCCGCCCCTCTCTTCCAAGCTGCTCTCAGAGAGACCGTTTACTTTAGCCGCATTCATCGTGAAACTTGCTAATTAGCAGATTATAAGGAAAGGCGATTTGCAAAGATTCATTACAAAACATTATACTCACTTCTTCTGTAGATGAGGCTGGATCATGAATGATTCGCGCGAACATAGACGCATTTATGTAGATCGGGGGTGCATTCCCTTCAGAAACAAATGTAATCCACTGCCAGTTCAGCGGCTCAGATGTCGGGAGTAAATGAGGACTGCGATGTTCATTATCAGTGTTGGGGGTGATATATTACAAGTAACGCAAGTTACGTAATCAGATTACTTTTTTCAAGTAACTAGTAAAGTAACGCATTACTTTTTAATTTACAAGAGAATATCTGAGTTTTTCAAATAAGTAACGCAAGTTACTTTTTTTTATTTTATTTATTGATTGACAGCTCTCCTGTCCCCATGTTGAGAGAAATCAGAAGATGTTACTGTAGTTCTAAAATAAATATGAATATGCATTAATTCATCTCACAAAAAACAAACAAACACAGATTCAGTATTCCTCAAAATGAATAAAAATAATGCAACTCAGAATATGACGCAAACCTGCAATAATTAAATGTTAAACAACACAAATATGCTTTATGTATTTATTCCCATTCTATTAACCAATGTCTTTGCTTCTGACCTTCGATGATCCAGTTCAACCATACTAATAAGCAAAAATTACTCTAGACGAACATTTGTGTCTTTTTTTACTGCTGAAGTGTGTTGAAATTTGGGAAAGGTCCATGAATTTGGGACGTCCTAAGGCACAATGGTGCTAATGGTGCTATAGCCCACGAGGCTATTGGTGCCAACGAGAGGAGATACTATTTTCAGTTTATCTGCACATAGATATTTTGATGTACTGTTTGACAGTGATGATTATGGGAAATTGAGTATATCATCATGTACTAATTTGTCTGTGTTCCAAGTGTGCAGAGAAGGAAAGGCGCCCCTTCTGCATTTATTTATTTCATAAAAAGAATGATTTGATTATATAACAAGCATGCTGAAGCTAAATTCAGCGCGTCAGCTTTCAAAGTGGACTTTGGCAAGGAGACAAACAGGACTCTTGGATGGTAACTGAGGCAGACAGAATGTCATGACAACTGCTCTTGAGTGAAATGTCAGTTCTACTCATACAGAAATAATCAAAAAAAGCAACAGTTTTCTATTTTTAATTCAAATAAATACTTTGTGGCATGCTGACTCTGTTGTTTTTCAGACATTACTTCCCCTTTGTTTGCAGCAACAGGTCCCAACTAAGAGACTGTGACAGGTGCTGTGATTGGTAGTTTATTGAAGACGAAAATAAATGTACTTTTTATGGGCAGAATTGAAGGATGTCAAAATCTGTAAATGACTAATCAGTTTAATCAGTTGCCATATTGGCTATGCAGGCAAAAGAAAATGTTTCAATGTATTTGAAAGGTAACAGCTTTTTCCAAAACTTTCAATGCCATGTCAAGTTAATCTTGACAATTAAATCTAATAGTATTATATGTCAAAACACATATTACAGATTAGGTTGGTCCAGCTGATGTGCGTGAAAAAAAGCAAATAAACGATGGCTCTCTTAAAAGTTTGGATCTTTTAACACCAAGGTAAGCCACCATATTGTTAGCTGCAATTTCTCCAATTTGTTCTTTAGGAGTACTTTGTCTCATACTGGTGGTGGGGACAGGTCTTGCGTAAAGTGAGGCAAAATAAATGCAGCATATGGTTATATGGATATTTATACAGTATAATACATTTTGTTTTTATTTTTCTAAATTAATAATTTTATTCAAAAAGGGATGAATGACTGATTTATAAAGTTACAAAAACAAATTACAGTTCAAACCAATGCTGCTCTTTGTGTCCACAAAAAATAATAAGCAGCACAACTGTTTTCAGCACTGATAATAAATGTTTCTTGAGCAGCAAATCAGCATATTAGAATGATTTCTGAAGGATCATGTGACACTGAAGACTGGTAATGATGCTGAAAATTCAGATTTGCATCACAGGAGTAAATTACATTTGAAAATATATTCAAATAGAATACACTTCTTTAAAATTTTTATAATATTTTACAGTGTTATGGTTTTTACTGTATTTTTGATCAAATAAATGCAGTCTTGGTGAACAGAAGAGACTTAATAACCCCAAAAGTCTGAACGATAGCGTATAAACTAAAAATAATTATTCTCTAGCATGAAAAAGATCTCTATCTCTAAAAAGAAGAATAGAATAATTATTGGAACAGCACTTTTAAGCAGCACATTCACATATTGTGTCTGTAGAGAAGCATTTTTTTTCCAGAGCTCTATACGCTATTCTTGTGCAGATGTCTACTTCACCACACGATCAGCAGGACTTTGTCATTTGGAAGAGGTTCCGCTGGATGCCGGGCTCTTTAAAACCACATTTATTGTCCAGCCATCACTCATAGACCCTAAACCTGTATTTAGACAGAAATACACGGCCTTGTTGTCAGTAGGCTAAATGTACAACTATATAGATTGACAGATCTCAGTTTAACTCATGCTATACCTTGGTGCTTGGATTTGGTCACCCAGACAGTCACTTGTCTTTGCTTTGGTTCCATTAAGTTATCAGAAAGACTACTGACTGCCTTCATTTTGTCTGTCGGGCAGATGCCTGCAAACAAAAATAATCACATACATAAACACATACACAGAATCCGAAGAAAACAACTTAAACTGACCACAGCCCCACAGAGTAAATCCTCTTAGGCATGCGTTGTATTTAAAAATAAATAAATAATGTGTAATCCCTTCTGTAATATGAAACATTTTTAGTATATATATATATTACATTTCTTTATATGTTTTTAGTACTCAGTACAGTTTAAGCAATCAAAGGTGTATTTCTGGCAATTCACAAAATTGGGACTGATGTTTTTATTTGGTCAACAAATTAGTCAATGACTATGTCAGTTGATAAGGCTAAAATTGGAACAATGTGTGCTGTAAATTCAGGTACAAGTTCATTCATGAGACACAAACAGAGCTTTGGGAAACTGCAGATAGTCAGAATAACACGTGTCCTGTAGCTGGTTAAACAGAGGAGAGCTAAAAATAGTGCTGCACTTACTCCGATAAAACTCATTCCGAGCAAGGAGACACACAGGGGCATTTATGGTGGTCATGGTCAGCTTTTATGTGTAAATATGACAGAACCAAATGCTTGGAAGGTGGGGTGTTCCTTGGAACCTGGAAACATACAGCAAAGAAGGAGGAGTTAAGGTCAGTGCTGAATGAGCTTTATTTTATGGTCAGGGAACAACTATCCTCATTTGAACCACATAAACATGATAGCAAAAAAAAAACAAATTAATTGAAAAAATGGTCAAAGTCCTACATGAAGAAAAACCACAAACTCTTATCATGCTTTAAAAAAGACAAAACTTGTTGACTCCACAAAAAACAAACATGTTGATTATAGATGAATCACGTGTGTCAAAAGTCAAAGAAAGGACTTTTGTCCCAGTTTTGCTCAAATTGTAAACAGAATATGCTTGTCCTCTGTAGGGTCACGGAAGCCACTAATAAAAAGCCCAAAGTAGACTTCCGTTTTTGCTAGGGTATGCACAGTCAAAAAGTAGGGAAGAGAGGGAATAAGAAGTTTAAACTAGTATTTTAATAGTGACAATGAAATAGCGCAAACACAAAGATGAAACGTTCTAGTGCGTATGTGTCGAGTGTCTTTTATGTCTTTTAAAACCAATGTTGTTCTAAATATGACTGATTCGACTCTAGTAGTCATTTCTGAATTAATCAGTTTTTAAACAAATCAGTTGAGTTAATAATTCAATGACTCACTCATAAAGGGAGTCACTTGTATTATTCCTGAATGAATCGGTCGAGTGAATAATTCAGTGACATACACATAGACGGTCACTTGTCACCACGTACAGTATTAGGATATCAGTGTAACTTGCAGAAAGAGTGAAAACAGTTGTTATGTTAGTTTGTTATGTGCTTGATGGGAATTCATTAGGCCTAATAATGGCTGTCATTGTTCTGTTACTTGGCATAATTCCTCCCGGCTGAAAAAACAAACAAACAATAGAAACCATCACAGAATTTGTAATGGTTTTACTGGTTATACTGGGAATTGTAATGGTTTTAATGGAAACTGTAATGGTGCCTGTTGATCTCTACTGGTAATTGGTCGCCTTCTATTGGTTGCTTGTTAAAACCACTAAATCCTAATGGAATATGTCCCAGAACAAACTACAGGAAACCATTTTTTAATGGTTTTAATGTTAAAAGTTCAGTGTTCAGATTCAGTGGAAACCATTAGAATTTCTGTGATTTTTTTCAGCAAGTCAAGTCTGCTTTATTGTCAATTCTTCCACATGTACAGCACATACACACAGAGAATTGAAATTGCGTTACTCTCAGACCCTTGGTGCATACAGATAACACTAACAGTAGAACATAAATACAGATAGATACAGATTTAAATATAAAATACAACTATACAATTATACAAATAAGGTCAAATGTAAAAAAATATATAAAGCAGCACAAGGCACATGGCAGATAGAGTGCAAACCAGTGAAGTAAACAACAGTGCAGATATAATGATTGTAGTGCAATCAAGGCTGTTAGACTGACATATCTCTGTCATACTCTTAATCTTAAGGGTGTGTTAGAGTATCTCTACCAAAATATTGTTCCACCTCTAAAAATAAAACCACTTCCTCCACACTACCACTCAGCGTGCGATCATAGCTGGATGGTGCTAATTATGGAAGTGAACTTTGCTCTATATAGCCAGCAGAAGTGTATAGTTTGATCTTGCCTATATTGGTGCTCTTGTTTTGATGCAGAATACAATGATTCTCAACAGCTCTGCAGTCTCCTGCATGACTCTTTCTTTTCTTAGACACTTAACAGGCTTTTTTGTTAAGGCTCCCTTAAGCGCAAGACTAGTCATGAACGCTAATCCCTCACTGAGTCAACATGAAATTGGTCTTGAACACAAAAGCCTTTGTGTAAAGGAGGTTTAATCTGCAATGGCATAACAGCAGTGAGAACTATCAGCAGACTCTGATGATGTTAAAGAGTGAAACAGCAAGGGATTAAAGGAAAAACTTGATGTAGTTTGACCTCATTTGAAAGGTTAGTACGTGAACAGAGACGTCTGGAATTGAATACAGATACAACAGAAAACAGAAAAGTGAATGGAAAAGGGTATCATTGTTTTACAAAGATCCATATCAGTCCTCCAGGCATTTTTCAAAGACCAAAAGACAGAAGTGTTTCTTTGTGAATTGATGTATATGGTGGGCGGGTGTATGAAAGAGATAGAAAGAATGAGAGACATAAGAATAGAAGTAGAAGTGATGGAAAGCTGGCCTAAGAGAAAGAGAAACAAAGAAGAGGAGGAAAACAATCCTCACAGTTGTGAATATTCCCCTGCTAAACTTCATCCACAGTAAAACAAAACACAGTAACAAGCTACAAAGTACATTTATGAAAAACAACGCAAAAAGTCCTGGACAAATGCTGTTTTCTCAGCGACCTGTTTGGTTAGTATCATGTCAACATATTAGACATATCTAGGTCAGTTTATATATATACACATACACACAGAAGTGTGAGAAGTCTGCTTAAAGTTTTGTTTAACATTTCTTCAAATATAAAAACAATAATGCTGCTGTTTATATTCCTAAGAAAAAGATATATGATTAGAAAGGCTGTTTTAAAGTCCATGCATTATGTCTTGATGTTATCTTTAAGTAGACCTTGCCTTTTTGTAGGCTGTCTGTCATGTGTAAAACTCCTTAAAGTCCAATTGCAGAGTAAATGTTCCAGAAGATTTTTTAAATCTTGTGAAGAAGGGAAAGCCTGGAATCATAATGCATATCCAAACACAGATGAGACTGCTTTATATCAAACCCCTCCTTTGCTTCAGGCTCGAGGACTGACAAGCTATTCGCAAAGGAGTTGAAGGTCCCACCCTGAGGAACACCCATATGCTTTCTTGACCATTTGAGAAAGACAATGGGATGAAGGAAAGGTCGGGATGCTTATGCGCTGCTACAATATTTTCCAGCCCTCACAAATACCAGTGGAAAGTCTTTGCATATAAGAGACAAGCTTTCACATGGATGCTACTTTTTTTAAATGCACTTTATTGCAGTACACTCTGTTTAAGCATACTGACTGTACATCTGTAAACTGTTCTTGTTGCCTTTCTGTGTTCTAATTATTTCCATAATAACAGTCTCTGCAAAGTCCAACTCTTTGAGGTTAGAGAAAACCCTACAAGCCATTATTCCACTTTGACCTATATTCTTCTAGTAAGAAAAACAGGACTACTTCAGAAAGTCATGTGACATGCCTGCAAAAGAGTCTTGAATAGGAGGAGCTATTGGAGTAAAGCATGCACTTCTGTTGACAGTGCTGCCTTGCATTAAAGGTTATTCTGTATAAAGGTGAATGGTGGGAAGATGATCAAATGGGGGGGAAATATAAAACAGGTGCGGAGAAATAAATTTTAAAAAGGCCTTTTTGGACAGTTGCCCTTCAGAGAAGCTAAAATGGGGCAGTTTTGTGTTTCAGATGTTCTTATTATCAGGATGTGGCATTATATTTACAGCCATTTGTGGTTAACATCAGTTTTCAAATATGAACTCAATTTTAGATAGTTTATGGCTAAAATACGCAGAGAATGTGCCACCTGCAATTAAACAACATTTAGATAAAGATGTTTTTTTATACATATATAAAAATAGATACATATTTATGCATATGTTCTATGCTGTGCATATATATATATATATATATATATATATAGTATATATAGGTTATTGTATCTGTAAATATTTACATACACTAATATTAAAATTATACTTCACCTAAAAATGCTAATTCTGTCATCATTTACTCACCCTCGTGTTGTTTCGTGTTGGTAACTAGAATTATTATTATTTTTTTTAATTCACAGCATTTTCTCTTTAACTGGTGATGGAAATAATATGACAGAAGAAAAAATAATATTTTGATGCTTTTCAAACCTTCTGAAGGAAAAACAATACATATGAAAGTGAATGCAAAATTTCTTGTGGCAATGCTTTTGTGAGAGACAAAAGATTTTGTGAGCGAATGCAGAGTTTCTCAGGGGAACACTGCAGCTGTCACACCAGTCTTAAAGAAACCCGGCCTGGACCCTTCTGATATGGCCAATTACAGACGAATCTCAAATCTTCCGCTTCTTTCGAAGCTGCTTGAAAACATTGTTGCTGCTCAACTTCAGTCGCATTTGTCATCTCATAACCTATATGAATGTTTTCAGTCTGGTTTTCGCACTCTTCACAGCACTGAGACAGCACTTCTTAAGGTTGTCAATGACCTCCTTATGGCCACTGACTCAGGCTCCATTAGCATTTTAATTCTGTTAGATCTTTCCTCTGCTTTTGACACAATCTCTCACAGTACTCTAATCTCACGACTCTCTGCTCTTCTGGAACTGCCCTATCTTGGTTCATTTCTTACCTGTCTGACCGTCAGCATTACATCGCTGTCCGCCAGGCTAAATCCTCTACTGCCCCTGTCTCTCACGGTGTTCCTCAGGGTTCTGTTCTTGGGCCTTTACTCTTCATCAACTACATGCTTCCTTTAGGTAACATTATCCGTCATCATGGCTTCAACTTCCACTGCTATGCAGACGACACCCAGCTCTATATCAGTTCTCAACGCAACTCTCCTTTTCCCACCAACTCTATATCGGCTTGTATTAATGATATAAATGCTTGGATGACCAATAACTTTCTCAATCTCAACACTGATAAAACAGATCTACTTCTTCTTGGTTCACCAAAAAATGTTGCTCACTTCTGTGTCGACAATGTTAACATTGCTGGAACCTTGGTTGTCCTTCCACCACCATTAAAAACCTGGGTATAATCTTTGACTCCTCTCTCTCCTTCCTACCTCACATTTCTTCACTCACTAAATCTGCCCTTCTTTCACCTCCATAATATCGCTCGTTTACATCCCTTCTTAAATATCAGTGATGCTGAGACACCCCAGGTAGCCAAAAAGTTTTGGCCCGATAATGGCCCAGATCCGGCAGGCCGGAAGAAATAACTCGGCCCAGCTGCGGTTGCCAGACTCGGCATGGACATGGGATGAATGACGCCCCAGAATCGGCCCAA